TATTAAAGTTTTGTGCAAATCAGACTTTGTATGTGCAAACGGGAGCAAATTTAATATTGTCCAAAACGCCCAAAAAAAGGTCACAATTTGCAGCTCCCCTGTTCGAACAACGTTTCACTGATGAAAAATCGTCAAAGTCATTTTCAAGGTACATGTGTTGAGATGATCTGGAGCGATTTTGAGGCGAATCGGTGAAACGGCCGAGGAGGAGTCGCTTTCCAACCGACATGTATGAATATGATTGCTGTTCATTTTTCCATTTTGCAGTGAAATTTATGGGCTCCCTGTATGTCAGAGGGCGGGGCCATAATAACATTTCTTTCATGTCTTGACTTGAGGAACATGTGTACCGAATTTCATGGCTCTACGACAAACTTGACCTCCGAAAAATCCCATGGGGGTTATTATTAGGCCCGAGCCCCGAACGGGGAAAGGGCCTATTGTTTTTGCTCGAGAGATGTCAAATTCTGCACTTTGAGCCTTAATTTCACCCCCTGAACATGCATGAAAAGTTGTAAAATTTTGACCAAACATCAGACCTGTTGAAAAATTTGATATTTTGGTGTTTATTTTTATGGGACTCAAAAAATGCCAGAACAGCGCCACCTACAACAGCCAATGGGAGTTTCAGAGGTCAAGTTTGTCGTAGAGCCATGAAATTCGGTACACATGTTCCTCAAGTCAAGATACGACCGAAATGTTATCATGGCTCCGCCCTCTGACAAACAGGAGGCCCATAAATTTCACTGCAAAATGGAAAAATGAACAGCAAAAGTTTTCATACATGTCGGTTGGAAAGCGACTCCTCCTCGGCCGTTTCACCGATTGGCCTCCATATCACTCCACATTGTCTAAACACATGTACCATCAAAATGACCTCAGGGATTTTTGATCAGTGAAACGGTGTTTGAGCAGCGGAGCGGCAAAATGTGAGCGTTTATGGGCCGTTTTTCACAACCTTCTATTTGCTCCCGTTTACACATACAAATTCCGATTTGCACAAAACTTGAATCCATGGTTCAACTCTCGGGTCTAGGTCATTTGAAAGTGAAATAATTGAACTTGGCTCATTAACGCCCCCTACAGACTATTTCAAAGTTTTTAGTATGAAAAACTCTGAAAACTTTGACTCCATCTGTAGGGGCACTAATGAGCCAAGTTCTTTTATTTCAATTTTAATTGACCTAGACCCTAGAGTTAAACAATGTATTAAAGTTTTGTGCAAATCAGACTTTGTATGTGCAAACGGGAGCAAATTTAATATTGTCCAAAACGGCCAAAAAAAGGTCACAATTTGCAGCTCCCCTGTTCGAACAACGTTTCACTGATGAAAAATCGTCAAAGTCATTTTCAAGGTACATGTGTTGAAATGATCTGGAGCGATTTTGAGGCGAATCGGTGAAACGGCCGAGGAGGAGTCGCTTTCCAACCGACATGTATGAATATGATTGCTGTTCATTTTTCCATTTTGCAGTGAAATTTATGGGCTCCCTGTATGTCAGAGGGCGGGGCATAATAACATTTCTTTCATGTCTTGACTTGAGGAACACGTGTACCGAATTTCATGGCTCTACGACAAACTTGACCTCCGAAAAATCCCATGGGGTTATTATTAGGCCCGAGCCCCGAACGGGGAAAGGGCCTATTGTTTTTGCTCGAGAGATGTCAAATTCTGCACTTTGAGCCTTAATTTCACCCCCTGAACATGCATGAAAAGTTGTAAAATTTTGACCAAACATCAGACCTGTTGAAAAATTTGATATTTTGGTGTTTATTTTTATGGGACTCAAAAAATGCCAGAACAGCGCCACCTACAACAGCCAATGGGAGTTTCAGAGGTCAAGTTTGTCGTAGAGCCATGAAATTCGGTACACATGTTCCTCAAGTCAAGATACGACCGAAATGTTATCATGGCTCCGCCCTCTGACAAACAGGAGGCCCATAAATTTCACTGCAAAATGGAAAAATGAACAGCAAAAGTTTTCATACATGTCGGTTGGAAAGCGACTCCTCCTCGGCCGTTTCACCGATTGGCCTCCATATCACTCCACATTGTCTAAACACATGTACCATCAAAATGACCTCAGGGATTTTTGATCAGTGAAACGGTGTTTGAGCAGCGGAGCGGCAAAATGTGAGCGTTTATGGGCCGTTTTTCACAACCTTCTATTTGCTCCCGTTTACACATACAAATTCCGATTTGCACAAAACTTGAATCCATGGTTCAACTCTCGGGTCTCAGGTCATTTGAAAGTGAAATAATTGAACTTGGCTCATTAACGCCCCCTACAGACTATTTCAAAGTTTTTAGTATGAAAAACTCTGAAAACTTTGACTCCATCTGTAGGGGCACTAATGAGCCAAGTTCTTTTATTTCAATTTTAATTGACCTAGACCCTAGAGTTAAACAATGTATTAAAGTTTTGTGCAAATCAGACTTTGTATGTGCAAACGGGAGCAAATTTAATATTGTCCAAAACGGCCAAAAAAAGGTCACAATTTGCAGCTCCCCTGTTCGAACAACGTTTCACTGATGAAAAATCGTCAAAGTCATTTTCAAGGTACATGTGTTGAGATGATCTGGAGCGATTTTGAGGCGAATCGGTGAAACGGCCGAGGAGGAGTCGCTTTCCAACCGACATGTATGAATA